GTCCCCGGCCTCTCTGGCTTCCTCCCCTCCTCCATCTCTGGCCACGTTTACGGCCCCGTCCCCGACCTAGCTTCAATTGTTCCAAACTCAACTCCATCTCCTTTAATCCCTAGTTTCTCTCTCTCAACAACCCCACCTGCAACCTAAGATTATTGCCCATTACAAGTGATGTCAAGTTGGGCAAGAGGGGAAAGAGAAATCACGGGCTCAGAGCCATTGAGGGCAGTGAAAGCGTTGATGAGGATGAGGAACTTTGCCCTGTTGATTGTGTGAGGGAGTTCTACACTGATGAGGAGTTCCTGAAGATCTTGGAGAAGTCAAATGAGACTAAGTCTCTGGTTTTGGTCGATTTCTACCGGACTTCGTGTGGGAGTTGCAAGTACATAGAGAAGGGGTTTGCGAAGATGTGCCGAGGGGCCGGGGATAGGGATGATTCTGTTGTCTTTGTCAAGCACAATGTGAGTGTCTAGTACATTCATTCTGAATATTTAAGTTGACTATGAATGATAAATTGCTTTTCGTCGGTTGTGTGGTTTCATACAACTATAACAGAATTTTTGCCAATTTGTGCACGAGAAAACGGGAAATAGTATTGGACGAACATGGTGTTTGTTAAAATGACAAAAACTTCTTCTACAAAGATTGCGATTACTGATAGAATGGTTCATGGTATAGGTGATCAAGTAGTCTTCCTCGAGCACAATGTGCGTGTACACTCAGGGAGAATGACATAGGGACTCTGTGTATCATAAGGGAGTCCCAACTTAATTATTACCTTAGGTAGGCAAATTAACCTTATGGCATAAGACATGACATACATGTCTATTCCCTCAGCCTTTGGCTATATTACATGTTTCTATTCCATTTTAGGTTCAGCTAACCTGCTACTAAATTCTCTAATAATAAAAACAATATGTGATGTGAGCTTTTAGTCAATTTGCTTATTTATATATTGATGGGATGTATGTTTGTCTTACTCAAATTCTCTAGCTGTTAGAACTTCATGCTAGAAATGGATATTTAACAATGACAGGATGCCGATTAGTCTTACTCATCTTCTAATTTTTTCCCCTTTTGTCGCAGCATGTTTTTTTTTGGTGAATTAAAAGAAAAAAGTCAGAAATTAATTATGAACAGAATAGAAGTGGAACTGGAGAATTATCCTTCATCCTTCCTATTATTATTGTTTAACTCATAACAAAATTTATGGAAATTGGGAGAAGGTTTTTAGAGAATTTTCTTTGAGATAATTGAGAAAGAAGTCTATCAATAGAAAAAGAATAAATATTTTTCAAATTAGGTTGAAATTCATAAATAAGTCAGCATGTGCTTTACATTGAATATGCCAGGTTCCTTGTTTTACTGCTTTGACCAGTATCTGAAATTCTAAAAGTGGACAAGGGTCATAATGAAAGAACTGTAACATAGTCCTCCTGTATTTTCCTGAGAATCAGATGAAGAAGATAAAGCTTCTTTGTTAGGAAAAACAAACCGTCTTTTTTATTAATGGCCCTTTGACTCGTGTCATGCAATTATATCAGGATTCAGGACAGATTATCTTCTAAGTCAAGTTGTAATTAAGTAGTACACAGAACCATCACCAATTTAATTTCTTCAACATGGCTCATCACCTTCACTTGCTCCTCCTCTTCGTGTCTATCCTGAGCCTAGCTGGCCATGGAAACTCCCACCTGCACAAGTAAGTAACATTGGTTGATTTTATTCCTATACTAATCATTTTTATAAGCAAACAAAACAAGTGACTATTCTGTTACGGTACAAAGAATATAACATATCTGTTTGAGGTGGGAAAAAATAAGCAACTTGGAGAAACTTAATTAGGGAGTACATGAAAGTTATCATCAGAACCGGCCCTGGTTTACTTTTCGCACATGGCCCCTAAAATGTCAGAACCGGCCCTGAGCCTGATCCTATGAAGTCACAACCAAGTAAACTTTTTTTTTTTGGGTAATTAAATTGGGTTTTGTTCTATCATCAATTTATAAAATTTAGTTTTTTTTAATAAAATCTTTTCAGTTGAGGTTGAAGATGAGACGGTTGATAATGGAGGATCAGAGGCTTCAAAAGCAATGCAGCAGAGTATAGGTAATTTAATAAAATTTTATTAGCATTTGAGGAAAATTTCGTGGAGTTAAATTGACTGTTTGAAGTTTTCAGTTGATTTGGTAATAATATTTTGAATGAGATAAACTAGGACTTGTAAATAAGTGATGGCAACAAAGTTATATTTACATATACAGTGATTTGCCTATCTATATGCAGCACAATAGCAAATATGCTAGATTATGAAAGTTCTATATGCATGCTCATCATAGATAAATCAATAACAAAATTATACGTGTGTTAATCCTCATTATCTGCAGCATATATGCATGCTCATCATAGATAAATCAATAACAAAATTATACGTGTGTTAATCCTCATTATCTGCAGCATGTATCTAGAATGGTTAAACATTATCTGATAACAAAATTATACGTGTGTTAATCCTCATTATCTGCAGCATGTATCTAGAATGGTTAAACATTATCTGTTGCATGTATCTAGAATGGTTAAAAGAATATTGACATATCAAATATTATGAAATAGTTTGACTTTCCTAAGCTACCAGGGCTGGGGACAAACAAATTCTTTATTGAGAATTCCTCTTTAAGAATCTAGATAAGTTATATAAATGTTGTGCCTCTTTAAGCTTCTCAGGCTCAGTGGGGAGGTTGGATGAGATAGTGTCCATATTTGTAGGGGTGGCAAACGGGTCGGGTCGGGTTGGATCATAGTTAACCCGACCCGTATAAGTGTGACCCGACCCGACCCATTTAATAAATGGGTCAACATGACCCAACCCGTTTATTAAACGGGTTACCCGACCCGACCCATATAACCCGAATGACCCGTTTAAGAACTTATGGTGTTTTTTCACCTCCAAAATACAAGTTGTAATATAACATCAACGCCTCTGAGTTTGGTTGTTTTGTTGAGCCCATCAGCATTGCTATCTATTCTGTTTAGGACTAATTCCATTGATATCTGATGGCATGGCTAATTCCATTGATATCTGATGGCATGACCAATATCTTACCATCTTAAATATATATCATGAATATAATAAAATGTTATGATTTAAAATAGATCATGCATGTAAGAAAAATTGATAAACACATAAACTTAACCACGCAATAGTTGACAGGAAAAGGATGAAAAAGCAACGCTTTGTACACTTAATCGTTTTTCAACACAAAAAAATGCTTCATCATTTACATTATGTATCACCAGCACGCATATGTAAACTTAACCAATGCTCTTCTCCCTACTAAAATGCAATTTCCTCCACAGCCTTCAATTTGGCACACCATACAAGAACCCATCACAATATTCACTATAATTCAAAACTCTCTACAAGCTAAAAAAGAAAGAACACAGACTATATGATGAATCTAAACTTTTCTCATTATTGCAGAGAAACCTTGTTTCATAAAGGAGCTGCACAAGTAGTTCTAACTGATTACACCGGCTCTTCCCCGCGACTGATTACACCGGCTACAATGCACGACCCTCCTCGCTCTTCCCTGCGACATCTGCAGGGATGTAATACATCAAAATGAAGCAGACAAAGAAAATAAATGCATTACTATTACAAATCAAGTGTTAGTTTATCTGCAATTTTTTTTGAGCTGACATGCA